CGTGAGCGTAGAATTTTATACCTTTCCCACGTGACAGTCGGAATGTACAGGGAGCGAGAAACTATACAACGACCACACCAGTAATGAACGATAAATAATCAAATATATATATCACACACTGACTGCTAAACAGTATGATTATGTGCGCGAACCTTGAAGCCGTCGTACGTCCAACTTCCCAGCTTCAAAACGCACGTCTGCACGTCGTAGGGGAAAAACTCAACGTCAATAGCGCACGAGGACTTATAAACGGCGGGGGGNCATTTGAAGGAAAAACAATGTAACATGCTGAGAAACAATAACTCACTAAATAATATTTTTTAAATTAATTAATATTAACAGAAACATAAAAAAATATTTAACAAACAGCAATGACATGAAAAATATTGTATTTTTAATCGCATAATTAGAAAAAAATGTGACACCTAAGAAAAAGCAGTGACGTCTCATACGTTTACTTATTAATATCAACAGGAGCTAGTCCACGGACGCCGCTGGAATAGATAAAATAAATCAAATTACGTCAGAAGACGTCTACCGTTTTTATAAACAAACATAACAAATTTCAAAAAAATCGGAATTAGGGCTCTCCAGATATTAGTAAAAACCTTGTATTTTCTCAAAATGTCAACACACTGTATCTTCGAAACGAAGCATTTTCGGACATAGGTTTATAGAAACTTTCTTTCTTATTTTTGGTCAAGGAAATTCCCCCTGATTTTTTTCGCAATGTTAATGGGACACCCTGTCTATAAAAAATGTGTAAATTATGATTTTTAGAACCACTTGTAATAGTTTTAGTAAATTTCAATTATTTTTGTCGTTGTTCGGAGCTGAGTAGTATAGAGACTCTCGCGTTTCGCTGCTAACGCGATCACCATCGGGGGGCGTCCGAAATTTTTCCTGGGCTAATCGCGTCTCCGCCAGTACAGCACCGCCAACGGTGGATCGTGAACGGCGAGCGAGAGCGTAGAATTTTATACCTTTCCCACGTGACAGTCGGTATGTACAGGGAGCGAGAAACTATACAACGACCACACCAGTAATGAACGATAAATAATCAAATATATATATATCACACACTGACTGCTAAACAGTATGATTATGTGCGCGAACCTTGAAGCCGTCGTACGTCCAACTTCCCAGCTTCAAAACGCACGTCTGCACGTCGTAGGGGAAAAACTCAACGTCAATAGCGCACGAGGACTTATAAACGGCGGGGGGCTGCCACACGACGAGGCCGCTGTAGTACACCGTGGCCTTGGTCATCAGAGTGACCTCGTAGTTACCATCGGCGCTGCAAGAAAAACACCTGGTTCACCATTGGAGCGCCGATGAGGGTCGACTGGGGCTGTGGGGCCGTCCTCGGGGACCTGGGGGCCTTCGGGAGGAAGAGCACGTCCAGGGAGCACAACCTCTACGGTTCTTTAGATGCGACAAACAAAAACTTTAAATTATCTACTGAAGAAGCGAAATCGGTCGTTAAATTAATTTTTCTCAAAAAAAAATTGGAAAAACTCGAAAAAATTGGACTTTTGTTAAAATTATTTTGATAAAAGACAAATATCCCTTTGAGAATTTGCAAAACAATGTTTTTCCTGAGCTCATTTTAATTTTTGGTTAAAAATTTAGATAAAAAACGTAATTAAATAACTAACAAAATATTGAAAAAACAAGTTTCCTTTGGCTTAATATGTAAAAAATAACCTTTTAAATGAACGATACCTTCATTTATTTATTTAATAATAGTAAAATAATTCCGAAATTGAAATTTTAATTAATATTTCATTTNAACATTTTTTTATAGTTTTTGAGATGAGGAATAAGGATCCATTGTTTAAATTGAGCTAAAAAAATTTAGAACCCTTAAATTTACGAATATTTCAGTTAATGATGTTTTTAGCTCTGATTTCCGCTCTTATGCATCGATTTGCTTGAAATTTGGAAAATAGGTGGGGAATAACTCAAGAAACAAAATACACCCATGCTGATATATATGTTTACCCTGAGGGTGGTTTCTACCCCTTTGTAGGGGTTGAAAATAAATTTTGTCAAAATAATCACGGGAATCGATAGAGCAACTAATTTGAAGCAAAAAATGTATCATACAATTTTTTTGATAAACCAATACTTTTTGAGTTATTTGCGATTGAAAATTCAAATATTCAATTGAAAAATTGGGTTTTCAATCGCAAATAACTCAAAAAGTATTGGTTTATCAAAAAAAATTGTATGACACATTTTTTGCTTCAAATTAGTTGTTCTATCGATTTCCGCGATTATTTTGGTAAAATTTATTTTCAACCCCTACAAAGGGGTAAAAACCCCAGGGTAAAAATACATATCAGCATAGAATGTATTTTGTTTCTTGAGCTATTCTCCACCTACTTTCCAAATTTCAAGAAAATCGATGCATAGGAGCGGAAATCAGAGATAAAAACATCATAAACTGAAATATTCGTAAATTTAAGGGTACTAAATTTTTTTAGCTCAATTTAAACAATGGATCCTTATTCCTCATCTCAAACACTATAAAAAAATGTTTTGTACTTTTTTTCAAAAATTATAATTTTGGGGATCAATTTTGAGGGTGTAAATGGGGTGCTGGTGAAACGTGATAATTTTTCCCTTAATCTGTTCCACTTAAGCTTTAAAACGCTATTTTTTGTTTTTTTTTTATTTTTTTTTCTACGAGGCGCTATTTAATTTTGTCCATACGTAAGTCCAAATGAATTATAGTGCGCCGGACAGTTTACTTAGCAAGTACCTTCTCTTTAAAGGGCTCGTGAGTCGTTAATTTTCCACAATTTTCAATGCAATTCACGGGAAATCGTAGTTTACGTCGTAAACTTTATTTTGCGAAAAATTCTAGTCTTAATGTTTATAAACAATTGCGCCATGTTTAAAAAAAAATTCTTATCTTGGCTCCTGTTGGTCGTAGAGGGTACTTTTTTTATTTTAAAACTGTATTTTTTTGCCAGCTATCCATTGCATCTATTTTCGGTGAGATAGCATAAATAGCAACAATGTTATTCAAATTGTTTATAAGCGAAAAACGCACGGTTTTTTAATGCACAATTTGAGAATGTTAATGTCAAAAAAACGGTGATATTTTTTAATAGGTCGCTTAATTGCGTCTTTAAGATTACAATGACGCTTTCAGAATCATGTTTGATTGAAAATTAACGCCTGTACAGAGGCTTAAAGTTCATAACTTTTGGAGCCTCCGCTATAAACAAATAGAATTGTGCGAAAACTATTGCACCTACAGCGCCCACTTTTGGCACACTTTTAAAGTATGACAAAACCCTCAACTTGTCATAGGTTTTATAAAATTTTAACAATAAATGCGATAGTTATAAACAAATTAAAAAATGGGCACTTTTCTTGTTTTTTTGCAATAACTTTTTTGTTTATTAACCGATTTTAATTTAACAAGTCTCATTTTGTAGATAATTTTACTCCCTATAAGCTGTCTGCGTGTCACTTTTCGCTAAAATTGATGGTTTTCCCTGCAAAGTGAAAAAACTGGTTTCCTCACTTATTTGTTTAAATAGAAAAGTTAGCTAATAAAATTTTTTGACTTACGAGATGAAAGATGTCTTGTAATATGTTCCTTTAGACAATTTTACAATAATCTCGCGGATAGGAATTTTTTCGAGTTTCTCTTTTTTTTTCGCTAATTTTCCTGGTCTATAAGTGTAACTATGCAAATGTGCATTTCGCTGGACGTCCCTGTCTCGAAGGCCCCCTTCATAAAAAAAAACACTGACTGTTCACCTTTCGCATCCGCCCTAAACTTGTATACAACATGGGTGCCAACATAACAGTATTTGCTGCATTTGAAAAAAGACTTGCTCTCTTAAACCGACATATGTACGAGTATAAGCTCTCGATTTTTTTTTTCATAAACGAACGCGTAACAAAAAGCCGCGTTTATAAAATGAAATATTCAAAGAACAATCTGGTTTCGAGTAAAAGCTCCATTCGAATTGCATTTATTCATGGTTTGGATTGGGAAAATCCGGATCTATCTGCTGAAATATCGTAATCTTGCACGGGATCAGAGAGATGTGGTATTTTTTCAAATGCACGAAATTTCAACGCTCGGAATGGCTGTGCGGGGGCATCTGCAGGAACGAATTCGACAGAGTGCGGGATTTTTCTTGCAACAAAACTATATAAATTATAAAAAAATTATTCCGCTGCCAAACTTCCACAGTGGCAAAAAATTGTGACCTAAGTATGTACTAAAAATGTTTAAAAGCAATGATTTATTTAATCCCCGTCGTTCTTTTATGCAACGGGACAAAAAAATCGACATTTTCTTTTTTCGTGTTAATTTTAACCAAAGAACACACTATAGAAGTTTAGCAGTCGAAATAACACACCCTCTAATTCCGTTCAATGTGTAAAACTCCAATTGTATCGAAATCTCTTCCGCAAAATATTTTCAGATGCGAAAAGATCAAAAATATATCGTAGTACTGGGTGTTTTAGGAAAAGGTACCATAAATTCAGTGGTCAAGAAAAGAAGACGATTTTTTCATCTGTTATCTTGAATCTACATGAGTTTATTTCTACCCTAGCTATGCGTTTTACCTCAAAAGTACCATTTTTATATAAAAACCTAACCTCAAAATGTTACGTCAGAAAATATCACTAAACAAGGTCATCGTCAGTGACCTGCAGTAAATGGCCAAAGATAAATTACGTTGAGGTCTTCAAAACCTCACTTACACCAAAGATCAATGCATTATGCTGGTTTCTGTGCTTAAAATTTGATTAAACAAAATTTTTTTCGACGCTCAAAAATAAAAGTCAAAGGACCATAGTCCGTAGGCGAAAATCGTCTTAGTTTATTGATGTTCTATGGTACCTGTCGGTTAAAATATGGTTAAATCGTCATTTTTAGGGAAAGTTTTTCCTAATCTCGCAACCAGGTCGAATTCGCGTCCAACCCCGCATCGTTTAGCCTCGCCCAGTCGTCGTGGCCTTACCTTGAAACCGTCGTATGTCCAACTACCAAATTTGAGGACGCACGTCTGCTCGTCGAAGGGAAAATACTCGACATCGATCTCGCACGAGCTCTTGTATATGGCGGGGGGTTTCCATTCAACGAGGCCCTGGTGGTAGATGGTGGCCTTGGTGGCTAAGGTCACTTCGAAATTCCCGTCCGCGCTGTAAGGGAACGAACTAACCACCAAACCGCCAACAACTAACAACTACCTGCTGTTAGCCCACTTGTTTGTTTTTTGCAAGACCGAGGGGGGGGAGGTGGGGGACCAGGTGCGACGGGAACCCACTCGACGGGCGGTGCCGGTGACATAACCTCAAAATGCGTCCGATGACGTAATCTCAATGTCTACGTGCAGAGAGATCCAAAATGACTGGAGCTGACGTCATACGTTTAAAACTGAGGTAATATTAATTTCCTTCAAATTCTCTCTCACTTTTATATCAAGTAAATTGAATTTATTTCAATAGCCCGCCATAAACGTAATGGAACTGAAGGGGGTAGCTGTCAACAGGTTGGTAATAGTTTATTACTCGTTTCCAGGCCACCAGGGAGCGCAAGCGTGGTTTTACTTCTATTACCATCTTATCTATGTTGCCAACTGTGACAACAAGGAATAGGTACTAATAGNTTATGTTTTATTGTGAGATATTTATGGCCTCCCCTTAGACGATCAGGCTGTTTATCTTCGGTGGGATATCGTATAATTTAGAGCCCATAAAACGTCATGTTCTCGTCCTCTAACAATTTACGTTTTTAGGTGTGTGTCGCGCCAAACGTTTCAAATCTAGCACCCTGGGGAGCTGGAGAGCAAGAAAAAATGAGTTTTAATAAATTTAATCTTGTCAGTTTCTATTCTGGTGTGTTCAATGTTTTAGTTTTCAGCTTTGCGCTCTGAGAAATTTGACGAGAAGTCGACGGAAAATTCGGAAGAATTACACTATCGTCAATATTATGCGAACCAGAACCTAACAACGTACTTACGAACATTCCTAATGACCCTGTATGAGGCGAAATGTACTCCTGCAGAGCTAAAACATCATTTTCCCGGCGCTCTGCGACCGTTCCTGGAACAAAATGCCTCCGCTTGTTTAGAAAAAAAGAGCCCTTGCCGCAAAAAAACAATTGCCTATTAAATACTCCCCCACTAAAGCGGAGGCCGTGCCGTTCGTGGAAAGTTCAAAGAAATGATTGATTCCTTTTTTTTGCGAAACCGATGAATGCCATTTTTTTTGTTAGTTGGCGGAGAATAAACAATCTAGAAAAAAGGGTTTCGCATTTGTTCGGACACAGCTCTGTTATTTAACGTTAAGTTTACCTCGTCTTATAATAATAGACTGTCCCCACTCCCAGTCAAGTAGTTGGTATGTGATCTAAACCTTTTATAGTTAAGACAACTTAATTTTATAATTTAGGGATAGTGCTAGAACCTCGAAGAAAGCTATGCTAGGATATGTCCGCTATGCACCATTGTTTAGATAGCTACAAATACGAACATGAGCTATGCTATGTTCGTAATGATAGAGCTAAATATGTTCGTTAAATAGCTACCATTGTTTTAACAGAACTTAGCCACACATAATATGTACAATATGTACCTACGCTATTGTCATGATGTTATAGCGCTGTTATAGATATGTTCGTTACATTCACTATAATTAAATTACTTAAAGAGTCTCATATTCTCCTGTATACTCTGATTTCAACATTCATTCAAAGTTTTCACTTCTGTATAAATGCTCCGTTATAAAAATTAATTTTTGATGCATTGGTGGCTATTTTTAATACATTCAGCGAACATAGCAAACATAGCTAACATAGCTGACTGACCGTTTACGAACATAGCGAACGTAACTAGCATAGCTAACACAGCGCCTTTTCTGGCCACAATCTTGGCTGTCTTTCGCATGTATAGCGAAAGCAATAAACATAGCGCTCTGCGTGATATTAATATTAATTGTCTTAACGTCTATAACGAACATAGCACTTTGTGCGAACATAATACTAGCTGTTTTTTAACGAGTATGCCGAACATAATTAACACAGTGCTTTGAGTGACCGTAATACCGGCTTTATTTAACGTGTATAGCGAACGTAGCGCACTGTGTAACCCCAGCATTAGTCGGCCTTATCGAACTATGATATCTAACCACTAAGTTTGTGGACGCGACGTTGATCTTTTTTCCTTTATGTAACTTTCATAATTGCCCTGATATTTCACACAGCCGAGAGGCAAAGAAACGAAGTTCTACCCCGCCTTATAGAGCTTATAGTGTATATCTAGAGAGCGGTAAGTTTAACTATCCTGGATCTCTCAGCACTAATAAAAAACTTTTACATGTTTTATCAACAATAAAGAAAGGATTCACAGATACATATCTGCGTTACTCAATGGAAGACATATTTGTGACGTCAATACGTCACTTAAATAATCATTATTCTTCGATTTATTATACAGGGTATTTGTATCAAACTAAAACAGAGGACTGGAAATATAATTTCATGCAACAAGTTTCCTATGATCCTATAAACACTTTCATAACCCGACAAGTCTTACTTAGCGCTTATAAGAAACTTTTCCCTTGAAATAATGTTTCCTATCTCTTGTTTCAAAGCACCACCATACTCTGTACATTAACTAAACGAATGGGAACAGAAAAACAATAACTGCATTTACGAATTCGGAAGTGTCCACTCCTCCGTCTCGTACGTAGCTTATTCGTCCGGCGATCGGACTAGACGCTTCCAACGCAACGTGTGCGACCGATAAAAGTCGCTCACGTGTTGCCATTATTAGATTTCATCAATCTCGCCCTATTTGCCGAATCGAGTGAGCTTCGGCGTCGCATCTGGTTCATCAAACAAAACATTTCTGTCGCGATACCTTAAATAAACATAGCCTGTGTATGCTGATGATATGCAAACATGAGGTTGTTCGGTACGGTTGTGTCGAGAAATCTAGGATGACGTGATGTGACGGGGGGGGAGGTCACGGTGCATGCAATTCGGTTTCTTCGCGGGATGGTACGGCGATCCGCAGAAATATTCCGCATACACCAACAAATTGTTCCACTCAGATAAGTTTATGACAGAGGATATGTCGACTATTTACGCGCGGTTGCTTTGGAAAATGAGGAAAGTGGATTGCTATAGGGCTTGTTTCAGGAAAACTGCTGCAGGATTGAAATTAATACACAACAGTTTAATTATGTTGAAAAAATTAAACCTACATACTTCTCTTCCCGTTTGAAGAGCAGGAAGGGGTTGGAGATTTTTTCTAGACAATTTCTCTTATGGAACGACACTATTCATCTTTAACTGCCTATTACTTTTATCCGCGTAAACATTCGATGGCACTCTCAATAAAGTGTATCCCAATAGCTTTATTTCGCGGCAATATAGCCGGCAATTTTATGTTTTATTGTGAGATATTTATGGCCTCCCCTTAGACGATCAGGCTGTTTATCTTCGGTGGGATATCGTATAATTTAGAGCCCATAAAACGTCATGTTCTCGTCCTCTAACAATTTACGTTTTTAGGTGTGTGTCGCGCCAAACGTTTCAAATCTAGCACCCTGGGGAGCTGGAGAGCAAGAAAAAATGAGTTTTAATAAACTTAATCTTGTCAGTTTCTATTCTGGCGTGTTCAATGATTTAGTTTTCAGCTTTGCGCTCTGAGAAATTTGACGAGAAGTCGACGGAAAATTTGGAAGAATTACACTATCGTCAATATTATGCGAACCAGAACCTAACAACGTACTTACGAACATTCCTAATGACCCTGTATGAGGCGAAATGTACTCCTGCAGAGCTAAAACATCATTTTCCCGGCGCTCTGCGACCGTTCCTGGAACAAAATGCCTCCGCTTGTTTAGAAAAAAAGAGCCCTTGCCGCAAAAAAACAATTGCCTATTAAATACTCCCCCACTAAAGCGGAGGCCGTGCCGTTCGTGGAAAGTTCAAAGAAATGATTGATTCCTTTTTTTTGCGAAACCGATGAATGCCATTTTTTTTGTTAGTTGGCGGAGAATAAACAATCTAGAAAAAAGGGTTTCGCATTTGTTCGGACACAGCTCTGTTATTTAACGTTAAGTTTACCTCGTCTTATAATAATAGACTGTCCCCACTCCCAGTCAAGTAGTTGGTATGTGATCTAAACCTTTTATAGTTAAGACAACTTAATTTTATAATTTAGGGATAGTGCTAGAACCTCGAAGAAAGCTATGCTAGGATATGTCCGCTATGCACCATTGTTTAGATAGCTACAAATACGAACATGAGCTATGCTATGTTCGTAATGATAGAGCTAAATATGTTCGTTAAATAGCTACCATTGTTTTAACAGAACTTAGCCACACATAATATGTACAATATGTACCTACGCTATTGTCATGATGTTATAGCGCTGTTATAGATATGTTCGTTACATTCACTATAATTAAATTACTTAAAGAGTCTCATATTCTCCTGTATACTCTGATTTCAACATTCATTCAAAGTTTTCACTTCTGTATAAATGCTCCGTTATAAAAATTAATTTTTGATGCATTGGTGGCTATTTTTAATACATTCAGCGAACATAGCAAACATAGCTAACATAGCTGACTGACCGTTTACGAACATAGCGAACGTAACTAGCATAGCTAACACAGCGCCTTTTCTGGCCACAATCTTGGCTGTCTTTCGCATGTATAGCGAAAGCAATAAACATAGCGCTCTGCGTGATATTAATATTAATTGTCTTAACGTCTATAACGAACATAGCACTTTGTGCGAACATAATACTAGCTGTTTTTTAACGAGTATGCCGAACATAATTAACACAGTGCTCTGAGTAACCGTAATGTCGGCTTTATTTAACGTGTATAGCGAACGTAGCGCACTCTGTAACCCCAGCATTAGTCTGCCTTATCGAACTATGATATCTAACCACTAAGTTTGTGGACGCGACGAGGATCTTTTTTTTTATGTAACTTTCATAATTGCCCCGATATTTCACACAGCCGAGAGGCAAAGAAACGAAGAACTACCCCGGTAAATAATTTACCCTCGGAAGGCACGGAATATTCCGCATTTTCCAGATCGCGAGTTCGTTGACTGATCGAAGACATTCCACCCGGCTGAGCTATGCACCAGCCAGCTATTCGGGTCACATGCATGCATCCACGCTATCCAGCGGGGGCAGAAACACCGGAAAATGACAGATAAGGGGGGTGGTGGCTCCAGCAACTATAACCATTTGTGAACTGGGTTATTTATGAAGACCCTGCCTTTAAGATGAGGAAAGTGGATGAATAGTGAGGAGTAGTTTAAATTACACGAATTTTGTTGAAAGGGGAGCAAGACCTTTTAACTAAAGCTGTTAGAAACCCGAAATAATGAAATTTAGTGAATCCTGGAAATTTTGTTGATACGAAATTATCCCAAAGCCAAACCTGCATTTCGCTTTCAAAATTTAACCATATTCGTTCGTTCCAACGCAAGCTTGTTCCATTCCTTGCACATATACAACAATAGACCGAAAAAAAGTTCGCGGGAGATTTGCTAGTCGACGTAAACCCTACATTTTCGCACACCATCAATTTCCCTTTACAAAAATGGACGCGGTTCGGCGGCTTACGAATATTATTTATTAACTTTCCATCCCCATCAATTCCAATATATCATTCCTTGTGGGAATCACGAGGCGGTTTATCGGTATAGTCGTCGCGTTATCCTCCGCTTCGGATCTACCATACCCATCTACTTTGCATCGTTATGAAAATAAACGCCGCCACCTACGACAGGCAGATCGAAGTACGCAGCGTCGCGCTCTTCTAAACGCGTACTAATCGATGATGGACAGACGCGGTCCGAAATGCATGCACTTTTACTGACAGCAACCGGGACATCACAAATTTTATGTCGGAATCTGGTATCAAAGATTTTTTCTAGGAAGTCTTTGCAAGTCATTTGAACGTCAAACATATAAATACATAGTCATCATTAGTTTTAAGTTGTCATTTGGCCTGCCTCATCACCTGATCCGAATCCTTTGGACTTTTCATTGTGAGATCATAATACAACGCCAGTGCAAACTTTATGTGGGGAAGGGACGGTTTACTATTATTCTGTATGTGGGAATGAGAAAAACGTAATCGAGTATTGGCTAAAATCGTAGATTTTCAGTAAATGACAGCAGAAGGCCCATTCACTGGGGGAGTTCTGGATTTCCGCTTTGCATATGTCACAATTATTGCTTCGCACTCGAGAACGAGGACACTCCGCCGCTGAATAATGCATTTTAAGGGGTGTACCGGTAAAAATTAAATTTGATTTGCTGGAATAAACCCGGCAAAGGAGAATATGAATGTGAACGGCGATGAAGTGAGGGCTATTTATTATCGCGTACAAGCAAAGTCCTCGACATAGAAGAGTTGGTTTGTGTAATTTTCAGTTTTATTCAACAAGTCAACCGGCATTTTAATATTTCATAACACGAGTATTTGTAAATTTATTCATTACTTTATCCCAATTATATAATGTTTTTTTTTAATTTTTAATATTAATATGTTTTAAGAGGGCGATTTAGTATGTATATTTTTACCATGTAACAGAGCTTCAGATGAGGACACAAATCATCGAAGAAACTAACATAATTGAATATTATTATATATCAATGTATTCGCAATGGTTCCCGCTAGTGAGTGAAATAAATTTCAATGCTCATGAGAACAGAAGAATAATTTAAATAAATGCCAAAGTACCTCAATTTTAACCATACTGTTAGTCTGCCAATATATTGGATTTACGACGGAACTAGGTCAGGCACAATAACCAAACTACTTCACTCACTAGAACGGACACTTAGGATCATTTGTATTTAATTTTCAGATTAATATTTATTAACAATTCTATAATTTGTGTCCTCAAGTAAGATGACAACATTTTACACACGACTCCATGTTTATTCTATACTTAAACCAGAATTTTAGTGATTTCTATCTCAAACAAGAATTTGTAGGTATAATTAGTTTGTATACTTTGTCACAGGTGTCGCTACCCTTGAAAATGAAAGCGAAAACACAGAGTTGG